TAATATAATTACAAAATATTTATTTTTATTTTTAATAAAATTTATAATTATTGCAATGCAATTATTATAGTATTAGGGTGGTGTAGTGGGGGGCTTCGCTCCCCACGGGTCTGTGTACTATAAATTATTTCAACACCCCCTAAATTCACACCCTATGTGCGCCTATGCCTGCGTTAGAGTAATAATCTCTAAATGTTGTATATAGAATAATGGTCTGTTGTGTTTTTTCATTMAACACAAGGAAAACATTATTTAATATTCTGATGTGTGCTTACTATTGAGTAGAGACTTAACATACTTCCTTGTATATTAAAGAAAAAAGTACAGTAAGTACAAGGTATAAAATACATACGTCATACGACATACAGGCTAAAGAGTGATTTAACAACTACCAATAGTGATCAATCTCTTATTCGTATATTCCTTTTATAATTTACCTGTATAAAAAATAGATTTTTGAATAGGTACTTGAGAATTGTTGTACTAGGTATTTAAGAAATGTCTTGTGGCATTATTAACAGTCTTTAGTACGGAGAACTATATAGTCTTTGTATAAAAGACAAAACTATATGGATAAATATTCTTTACACCAAAACCACGCTTCTTTACATGAAATTATTGAATAGATGAATTTAATTTTCAATGTTAATATACTGTTTAGAATTTTAGATCAAAAMTTGAACAAGAGTACCTAGTTACCGAGTTATTTATTGTTGTATCTTCTAAGTACTAAAGAAAACAGAAATAAACAAAATAACAGATATGATTACATTTACACTTGGATCATATTATACGATCTAAGCATTTACAACATGATTATGAGATAACCAGTAATATATTATGATTATAAAATATATCTAAAGAAAAAAATAATAAAATGAGAGATTTAATAACTAGAAGAATAGTTAATGTTGGCTTCTAATTTGATATACAAATTGTAGTAGAAGAACTATATCAAACTATTAGCATTTGTCTGAAAGATAATTTACTAGAACATGATAGAACTTTAAACAAATACTTAAGTAAAAGTAGTGATATAGACTAATATACAATAATATATAATATAATTATTTAATGTTATATAATTATATATAATTATATAATAATATTACTATCTGACTATAATTAAATTTATGATTTTAAGTAGTAATTAGTAAGTATCAATCATTACAATATTATAATATCAAATTATATTATAATTATTGTAGCAGCCTACAGCTAGCTATTTTTACAAAAAGCATTAAATTTCCCGCTTTAATAGCTCCTTGAATTCCAAAGAGGTTCTACATAATAGCAATACATTTACCGCAGATCAGATGGTGTTGGTACTAGATGGCCGAATTTTTTTATAGAGATATATGTATATAATATTATCAAAAAGTAAAAAACAAATTTTCAGACTTCCAGTGTAGACTATAGGAATTGGAGTATAGGATGTTTTAGTTTTTTCGACAAAAATGTAGCGATTATGTAGACCATTGACTTCCGTTGTTTGAGAAGAAATATTCAAATATATATAAACTCAACCAAAAATGACTTCATTGACATCGGAAAGGTAATTGAGTTTTTTATTTCTGATTCCACAAAAACCATTTATGTAGTGAGTTCTGAATATTAAACTTTTTACATCTACCTATTGTTCTACCTTCTACCTATTATTTATGTTTTAAGATTTAGAATATTATACATTTTATAACATCTAAATTTTAGGGTGGAATGGGTGGAGATAATTGAACCCAGGACTAAAGAACATATGTATGCAAATTTGACAACTGGTGAATGTGTTTGGGATGCGCCTGTAGGAGTGCCTGTGTAAGTACTTTTATTGTTATATGTTTAAATATTAAAATTTCATGTATATGTATTATTTAAACCAATAAATCCAAGTTATTGGTATTCTTGATGCTTTTTTTGTTATATTCATTCATCATTATATCAAAASATAATACATAATCATAGGTTTAACCAATTAACATGACCTTTAGCCTTTGAGTATAGGAATAATGAATTTCTCATATGGTAAACCATATTCTAAATTGATGATAAATAAATCTATGTGATGGGGTATCAATTTTATTTCATAGATGCATTTATTATGATCAATGTCATGTTTAAAAGTTAAAACATAAATTTAGTTTTGCGAGCTACAAAAATAGTTTAAACTTTTTTCTTATCTCTTAAATAAATTATAAATAAGTTGATTTCCAAATTAAAATAATTTTTAAATACTATGCCATAAAATAATTTTCAATACAAATGTTGTTGTTTTTTTAGTTGAATTTTTTATTGTTTACAAAATAAATAGTGAATTTATTTAAAATTGTATTTTTTAATATTACTTTTTGAAAAGTTGAATACATTAAATAATGATATTAGTTATTGTTAAACTCACAAATAAATTATATTTAGATACAATTAGTGTGATTTTTTTTTATTTGATACTAAGTAACTATTTGATTAAACTTAATGATTGTGATTTATGATTAACAATCATACATATTATTTAATACCTACCCATTTTTATTTATTTTTTTCATTTTATCAAAGGTTTGTTTAAATTGATAAATTAATAATTTAAATTGTACAAGGCACCTACAACTAATCATAGGCTTAGCATAATGCATTTTTATGGAAGATTTAGACTACAATGTTTCAGATGCCTACTTAACATATATTCTAAAAATGGTAATTCAAAAAATTTATGTAAGAGGCTAAACAAGATTCCGAAGAGGCTGTAGCCCCATTAGCCACCCCCTTCTACACCTATGCAACTAACTCTCATTTTTTAGTATAGMATCATCTCTTTCCATTTTTGATGGGTGATTTATGCATTATAAATTTAATTTAACTTTGATAGGAATCATGTATTACGACTCAATTATCTCCCTATGTACATAATTTGTAATATTTTATATAGTTTTGAATTCTTCTAATTTAAAATATCTAGAAAGCATTAAAAAAATGTATATTATAATTATCCATTCTAAATAATTAAAAATGTTTCATTTCAAATTTCAAAATTGTTTTAAATTTATAAATTTATATTTGTTAACAAAGTTACAGTGATACAGTGTCGTTGAGTAACTTTTTAATTGGTATGCTTTTCTTACGTCAATTAATCTCATTGAATTGAGAATCCAAACTATATATATATTAGTTAAGTATTAGTTTAGTTAAATGTATTTTTAAACTATATACAGGGTGATTCTTTTAAGTGGGTACACTAATTATCTCGAAAAGTAAAGACAACATAAAGTTTTAATTTCATATTCCAAAGCAGAATATTTTTCTAAGTATTTAGATTCATTAAAATCAAATTTAGGGCTAGTAGTTTTTGAGTTATAAGTATTTWAAGTTTTGATTGGCAGAGTGGAGTGGTACGGGGTTACCCCGCAAAATGTTTGTCCACTWYTCTGCTTGTTTAACTTTAAATACATATAACTCATAAATTACTTGTGCTAAATTAAATTTTTATGAATCAAAATACTTAGAAAAATATTCTGCTTTGGAATATGAAATTAAAACTCTATGTTGCCATTCAGAAAAGTAAACAACTTAAAAAATGATAAGGATAAAAAATATTTAAAAATATAATTTTTTAATAAAAACGTTGGTTTTTTAACAACTTGTAACCACTTAAAAAAATATTTTGAAAAAAGTAAATACTTTTCGAGATAATTAGTGTACTCACTTAAAAGTATCATCCTGTACTTATATAAGGTTTTTTTTTTGAAATATTACTTTTAAAATAACAATAGTATTATTTTTGAAATTATTTTTTATTTATATTTATTTATTTTTAATGGTGATTAACTATATCAATTATAACAGTACAGATATGCAATAATAATAATTTATGAATATTAAAATATTCTTCTTCTGTGAGTTCCTGTCCGTTCCGTATGTTGGATATCATATTGGCTATACTATTCCTGTCAAGTGATGCTCTAAATGAATCAATAGATGTTTATTGTACCAGTCACGGAGACTCTTCAGCCAAGATATACGTCTCCTTCCGACAATTCTTTTTCCTTCTATCTTTCCTTGTAATATAAGCTGTAGTATATTTTATCGTTGATTATTTCTTAAAATGTGTCCAAAGTATTCCAGCTTCCTAGTTTTTATTGTAGTTAACAGTTCCTTCTGTTTACCCATCCTTTCCAGTACCAATTGGTTAGTAATTTTTAGCATTCGCCTATACAACCACATTTCAAAGGCTTCAATTTTTTTGCATGTTAACTCTATTAATGTCCAGGTTTCGACTTCATATAATAATACATAAAACACATAACACCTTAACAGTCTGATTTTTTTAGCAAAATACAGATCATGACACTTGAATACTTTCGACATTTTTCAAAATGCTTCCCTAGCTCTTTCAATTCTACATTTTATTTCTAATGAATGATCCCAATCTTCATTTATTGTTGTTCCGAGGTACTTAAATTGTTGTACTTGTTCTATACGTTTATTTTTAATTATTAAATGTCCTCCTAAGTTATGAGTTTTTGATAATATCATAAACTTTGTTTTCTTGGTATTTAGAATCAAGCCATATCTTTCGCTTACCTCTACTACTCTTTCCATTAAGTATTGTAACCCCACAATGTCATTTGTAAAAATTACCGTATCGTCAGCKTATCTAATGTTATTTAAACATTCCTCATTAACCTTATAACCTTAATGCCATCTTCAATTCCTTCTAGAGCTTCACGGAAAACAAATTCCAAATATATATTAAATAACTGTGGTGATAAAACGCAACCCTGTCTTATTCCATGCTTAATTAATACTTCCTCCGATAGTTCTCCATCGACGTGTATGACTGCTCTTTGATTCCAATATAGATTACTTATAATTCTCTAATCCCCTTTATCCACTACAGAATTATCCAATATTTTTATAAGCTTGTCGTGTTTTACATTATCAAACGCCTTTTGATAATCAATGAAACATGCATATATGTTCTGATTAACATCTCTGGCCTTTTGAAATAATACTTGCAGGCTAAAAATAGCTTCTCTTGTACCCATAGCATTTCTGAAACCAAATTGTGTGTTGATCATTTGTTCTACACATATTCTAAAGATCCTATGATGAATTATTTTTAAAAATAGTTTTAGWAAATGACTCATAAGACTGATTGTACGAAAATCGTCACAACGTTTTGCACTTGGCTTTTTCGGTAGTGTAACAAATGTAGCTTTTAGCCATATTTGAGGTATCTTCCCAGACGCGTATATTCTAAAATATTAATTAGTTTATATTATTTTAATATTTTATACATGGTTATTTATACTATGTAATTATAACCACAACACTTTTAATTTGGATATTTAATAAAACAAAATTATTTAATCCATTATGAAATATTTAGACTTAGGTCGTAATATATTGGCTCGTCAACTGAAATTGCGTCATTCTAACATTAAGAATTATTTAGATAACACATATGTGTTCTAAAAAAAGTATAATTTTAGAGCTGTATATATCAAATTGATATTATCATTCCTACAAGGGTAACCAATAACCATTATATTGTTAGCTTAAAAAAGTATTGTATGTTACATAATATGTTTCATACAAATTGTATTTTGTATCATTTATTATTCCCTGAATTTCATACTCTATGAAATAAAGTTTTATTTATTCTTAAATAAACCAACTCTATTTTTATTTATCAAATATGTTTATATTGCAGAAAAAAGACAGACAACAATCAGTGGTGGGAACTATTTGACCCTATCACAAATCGTTTTTACTACTACAATACAGCTTCTCAAAAAACAGTTTGGCACCGACCTCCCAATTCTGATATTATACCTTTGGCTAAATTACAAACACTGAAACAAAATACTGAACCTGCTGTGAATGATGAAAATGATCGTAAATATTCTAAAGAATCTGTGTCAACTCAGACACCTGGACGTAATAGAATGACAGTACCCCTTTTATCAAGTAATCAAACATTGGTAAGTTAAATTATACAAAAAAAAAATTTGTCATAAAGTGTAAATGAAAATATATATATGAAATTTGTGTATATGTTAAATTAAATGCAGATATTTAGTATATGTTTGTTAAGATTAATTTTTAATGTGTTTTAGGGTAATGTTGAGAATGTCAGAACTTTTAAGTTAATGGATCCAGTTGCATCAACTAAACGCTCTGTGGATTCTGAAACTCAAACTTCTCCTCTTACACCTCGCAGATCTCACCATCATCATCATCACCATCATCATAATAAGTATGAAAATCTTATATTTAATTTGTGATGTAAAAACTTTTTTCTTAAAAAAACTAATTTATTTATTTATTTAGACACCAACAACAAGCTAATACACCTAGTAGAGGACGACGTGGAAATCAGCCTAATGTTTGGTACAATCGTACTGCTTATTCACAGGTGAATAATATTAAGATTTTTATTTAAAAAAAGTTAGAATATTTAATTTTTTTACTATTGAAAATGAACTAAACGAATGATTTTTGAAATTTTTAAGATTATAGCTAAAGAACTATTAAAATATTGAATCTGAATTAAAGTGTGAGCTGAAAAGTACCTTATATTTATATAGATATTTTTTTGTACAAACTACATTCTTAATTAAATAATTGTAATTTATACTAGAAAAATAAACCGAAATAAATAATGCAGAAAAATAATAAATAGTTATGATTAATAAGTAATCCACATAAGATTTTAAACCAATTGTAACCTTATAATGTACAAAAATATTTAATATTTAGTATATTTTTTGGTGGAAAGATGGTGTTTTTTAATATGATCATCATCTTACCCCCAAAACTAAATTKGGCTAAATTTATGCCAAAAACCTGTTCCACAATGTACTCTTTTGTAACAAAAAAAAAAAAAATAATAATCAATAAAAATCTGATAAGTAGTTACTGAATTTACCCTGTACAAAAATTTTCATTTCACATTTATATATTTAAATAGATAAGATGAATTGTGTGTTGATTACAATTATGCAACACCACTAGTTTAGAGTGAAAAAAAAATCCATTTAACTTGAAATWATTATATGTTTTTAACAAATAAAATAGATTAAATTATAGTCTTATCTAAATGTTTATAAATTCATATTTACAACAATTAACTTTAGCTTTTGTACTACTAGCAAGATAAATATATGTAATCTAGACCTTTACAGATTAATAATCAGAAATTATTATAGATTTCATAATTATCTTATTAAAAATACAAAAGGAAAATAATTTATAATTTAACAATTAAAGCAATTTTCGTTCTAGCTAGAAACTTAAAATAGTTGATTTTATTTTATATTTATAATTAATTGGTACTATTATATTATACTATTTATAGTTTTTCAATGTTGTAATATTAATTTAATTTTCAATTTGTATAGGATTCTGGTCGTTCAAGTGATTCAAGTTGTGTTTCTATTCAATCATCTAGTGGCAAAGATGCTAATCCTGGTTTGTCAATGTCTGCCAGTACACCATTATTTAGAAAAAAACTTTCTCAACCATCTACACCACAAAATAATCTTCCTATTCAACGAAGTTCTTCCAATGCTTCTCAATACCAATTACTATTAGGCAAACAAAAAAGCTTCGATACTGATATAAGTATTGGAGGTGGCTATAGTCTTGGTCATGATAATCGTAACAACAGTTGTTCTCGTCCTCGTCCACCTGTGGTTTTGTCTTCCAGTTTATCTAATAGCCAGATTTGTAGGAGCCAAAGTTTTGCGCAAAAGTCAATCGCTACCAAAACTTCAATTGAAGCAGAAGAAGAAGATTCAATGCATGAAAAATATCTTGCTCCAAGTGGATTACTAGGAATGCCTCCGCGGCATGGAAAAAAATCAGTAGAATCCACTCCTTTGGTATTAAAATATAATTTATATATATGTATTGTTATCTATCAGTTGTTTAATGGCATACCTTAAATTTTTAGAGTTCACGTAAATGGCATTCTCACTCTGATACTGGATCACCTACAGCATCTAAATCACGGCCACCATTAACTCCTGAATATGCTAACTTTGCTCCTCCTCCTCCTCCACCAGCTGCTCCTAGTCAGTCCAGTTCAAAATCATCTTTAACACAATCAGTAAAACATACAAAATGTTCAAAAGATGTCGGACTTACAAGTAGTGATGATGATTTTGAAGAAAATGATAATTCTAGTTCTAGTGTATCAAGTAGTCCTCCAACGGCTAATAAAATTGACCAAAGGTTAAGATCTGACAACAAAGCTTTGGATAACCGTAAGTTGAAACAATATTATTTTAAATATTTTTACTTTCAATAGGAGTAAACATTATTCTTTAATACTAAAGCTTGAGTGGATACAAGTTTGAAAACTTATTAAAATAAGAATATCACCTTTATCCAGTTAGTTCTTCATAATATTATAATATGTTTTGCTGTTACATATGTAAGTTAAAATATTTTTCAAGTTAGTTGTCCTTGGTAGAATTATTTTTCCCTTTGTATTTTAGAATATTATGTTTGATTTTGAATTTAAAAAGATTTATAACCATGTTCATTAATTTAACTACTTCAAAAAAAATATATATATATGTATATATTGGAGCAGTTCTTGTGAAGTTTTAAACCTCTTTTTAGATTTGCCATCAGTCTCTTTGACTAAAAGAGATATTTCGCTTGTAACATACATAAAGTCATACAGAATACACATCTCATTTTTTTTTTCTGTTGATACATGCATAATATTATGTAACCCATATTTGTATCGCTAGATATGAATACTCAAGGTACAGCTCTATGGAGGAATCCATACCATGTTAAAAATAAGTACATTAGTTGATGAGTTAATTGTTTTATGGTGTTAAATTCCATGTGATTTAAATTTTATGACAGAAACCATGCTGTATAAATTATAGTTTCTTTCTTTTCTTTTTTTTGTAAGGGGAACGCGCGGCAACATAGGCCATTGGGTGTAGGGTGGTACAGTAGAGATTATTTTTGTGTATTTGTTTATAGGTTTTTAAGTGGGTAGGGTTGTAACACGTGTTTGTGTATGTGGGGCAAGAATATGCTGCTAAAAATCCTGGGTGGTCACCCATCCAGCAGTTAGCATCTGCGGCCGGTACATACGCTCAGTGCAATTCCGCAGATTAAGCGTACGACCGCGCCTCACCAAGCCACAAATTATAGTTTCACTTTAATAAACATTAAAAAAAAAAAAAATTATTAGATTTAAAAGCAAGACCAGTATCAAATCACTCAAGTTCGTCTAGTCAACGTGGTGGAGCTGTTCGAAAAAGTGTTAGTCCAGCCACATCAGATCAAAAACAAATCCCTTTATATAGTAATTTAGATGTGTTTGAAGGAAGAATTTTGCCACTTCATCAATACATTTTAGAACAAGCGAAATTATCAGGTACTGTATTTAATTACTTATTTTACATTTTATATTGTCATATAAGAGTTGCCTTAGATGGTGGGTTTCTGTATGTGGTGCTAGCAATGTGTAAGGCAAATGTGTGCCAAGTGCGTCGCTTTATTATTCCCACCACTCTCAAGCTTTTATTTTGCTAAGATTAACCCAGTAATGATTTTTTATGGATGCAGTAAGTAGTCAAAAATGAAAGCTGATGTGATAAACTGATTTAATCAAGACTAGTGATCTTGCTGACCAAGACAATAATCTGTTGGCACCTGAGATTATTTTTATGTGAAACAGAATAAATATATTTTTCAAAATATAATTGAAAACTTAAAAATTATGTTCTATACTTGATAGGATCATCATATAGGTTTGGAGATACAGTTGGGACTTTTTCTGAAGATGATGATGCTGAAATTGAAGATTTAATTAATGTTATGGGCACGGCTACTGGATATGATAGTGATGAGTTTGCTGACGATGAAGGAGCAATTAGTCAGGGTGAACAATCAAGTTCACCATCTCCATCAAATGCATCTTCTAGACATTATTTAAGAGATGAATTAGATTATGATCATTTGACAGCAATGAGAACATCACAACCTCGGACTTATGTCAATGGTAAATACTAATATTCTTTATTTTTTTTAAACAGCTATAAACAACTCATTTTTAGATACTCGAGTTAGTGATTATGCGGTTGAATCAAGTAGTAATCAACATTATTATAATACAGTTACAAATACTTTATCATCTCAAAGATCAGCAAATCTAGTCGCCCCATCAATGTCTGGTAATTTAATGTTTTTAATTAAAATAAGTTTTTTTTTTACATATTCAGTAGCAAAATTGTATTATTTTTTTAAGATCCATTTAGCAATTCAGCTCCAACTCTTCCTTTAGAAACTCAACACACATCCTTAAGAAGAAGAAAAGATCAACATGTTCAACCTTCAGCTGCTTTATATTCTCCAATTATGGAAAGAAATGAGGTAAATACTCTTATGTATATTAGCACGTGTCTTAATCTTAAAATTATTTGAAAGATATATTGTTGAAAACAGGTATGATTATGTGTTGTTAGAACTGTAGTCGCTTATTTATAAGTTCAATAAACTCAATAAAAATTATTATTTTGAATCAAATGATAGTATGTAAAATATATAATAATTAATAGGTTCAACAATGTTATGGGTTTTTGTTATTAGAAAACATATTAGATTTTACACTGAGGTTGTATTTGGTTTAAACTAATTGGATTTAGTTATTATTTTAGAGGGTTACAAATAATAAATGTCTAGTATTTTTTAATATATTCAAGAAAAACTAGCATATTTGCTCGAAACCAGTTTTTGAAAAATTTGGTTTTGTTTTTTTATTATTACTCAAAAATGAAAAGCCATAGATATTTTAATTTTTTACCAAATGTTTGTATTAAAATTTTAGATTCTGAGCGGAGCGATGAATGTATTGATTTTACCATGATGTGTGTTTTTATTTATTTTTTATTTTTATTTTTTTGTCTGTGATCACGTTTTAGGGCAGTAAAAGTGCTTCAATTTTTGACTTCAGTACCTCGTTCGATCAGAAAGTGAATCTAGTTGGTACTTTGGTGGGGGGGGGGTCCAAAAATAAAAAATCCTGTTTGTCAGTCTTGGATATTTTATACTATATTTATTAGATTGCTATTATATATAAATATAAAAAAAAAATGTAGGTTCCTATAAAATAAATTACTAATTATAATCAAATCAGATTCATTATGTACCTGGCTTACTTAGTAATTCATATTTTGCAAATACAATATTATCCTATAAAATATTAATACAAGCCATTAACAACATTAACTATTGCAATTAAAATATAAATTATACTAAAATTGTTATTCCTGGTTATTTAATATGAAATTTCATCTAAATTTATCTTAAAATAACCATAAAAAATAAAACTGTGTATAGTTTTTAGATTTTTTTCTTATAGAATTAACTACTTARGTGAAATTATGTTTTAAATTTTAAATTTAATTAATATTATAAAATTTTAAACTCTATGCCAATTTTGTGTAAAAATTCCCGTTTTTCCTTTATTTTATTTTTATTTTTCCAAGCACTTTTGAAAACTACCTTGAATTTTAAATTTTGACCTTCATAATGCACCAACTAGATTCACTTTCCAACCAGAAAAGCTACTGAAGTTAAAAATTGAAGTATTATTTCAACAACTTATTGCCTACACTGAAACGAAAAATATGACATAAAATAAAAAACATCACTGTAGAATCAATATATTTATAGCTTTGCTCAGAATCTAAAAATAATTTTCTATGTATTTTTAAGTTATTTATAGATTTTTGATATCTTTGTTTTATATTTTTCAACAAATTTTTCACTGGATCAAAAGTCAGAAAGTTTAAAATAAAGTTCATCATGAGTTGTTATTATAGGTCTTTAAAAATATTAATAATACATAAACACAATTGGGTTTTTAGCATTTATACTTAAAAATTTGAGACAAAATCACAAAAATTTTCCAATAATCTTGTTGTAAATTTTTGAAACATTTGACATTTATATCTAAGGCTTAAATATTAAACACAAAATATACATTGTAGAGAGTAACTCAATATGAGGTATAATTGAAACCTACTGGACGTCACAATCGCATATTATGTTACACACGTACTACATAGCAAATGTTCGTTTGCTAGGTTCAATTGTGTGCTGTTTGTTTTGATATTAGAGTAAATTGACCTATTATAACACTTTTAGGTAAGAACATTATCTGTGTTTTCTTGTTGGTTATTTATGATATTTTAATTTTTAAATAAGTTATAAATATGTAAACTATTTGAAAATGCATATAACTTATTTAAAAGTTAAGATATCCTAAAAAATGTACGATAAAACACAGTTAATGTTCTGACTTAAAAGTTTGATAATAGGTCAATTCACTCCTATATCAAAACTAACAGCACATTATTGAAATTAGTAAACGAAAATTTGATATGTAGTACATGTGTAAGACGAAACAACACTTACAGGTGCAACATACTCTTAACCTATTCATCCCTTTATTACAGGGCGATTCACCAAGTGTTATCACCACAGTTTTTTCATTCAATTACTATTTTATTAAAATTATTGTTTAAAATTTATATACATACTTATGTTCAAAGGAAAATCCCTTTTTTTACCATTCATTTTTAGTGGATAACTTTTTCAAAAATTTTTTAGTTTTTAAATTTTTATTAAGAATCTAGTGTTTACATTATACTTTGATGATTTTTACCAATAATTATTAATAATGCTAGATTAATATTAATTACTAAAATGTTTAATTCACCATAGTCCCCATATTTTCCAAACCCATTATCGAGGATCTTACAACTATAYAATTGTACAATATAGCAAAAGCTGTTTATTAACTGCAGGATAACTTAATTTTTCAGTATTTAAARCAGAACTACCAAAATTTCACAATGCTTTAGGAATAACTTAATATGTGCAGTAGCTCCATTATTTTTTTAAACATAAATACAATCAAAGTTATGAATTTGAGAATGTACATTTTTTTTCATTTAATTATTAAAAATTCTTGATTAGTCTTATAAAAAAAATTAAAAAACTACAACATTAATGTTATATTGAGATTAATCATATTATTATATTTCTAGTTTATTTTTTTATTAATACATATTCTTTAAATATATATATTTTTAAAATTTCAAATATTTTCATATCTCTGCATGTTAGCTATTGTTTTTTTCTTGTGTGTGCTTATAGTTTATGCTGGCTCGTTATGCAAACTCCAATCGAGGTGTATTCCACCCATCATTATCTCAAGATGCTCGTTCCTGTTCACCTGCCTATTACTATGAACAGGTTTATATATGCTTTTGCAAATGCTATTAGAATAGTGTGAACATCTTGAATTTGAATGAAATCATAATGTCTTTATTTTCATACTTAAACTATATTTACAGACTTCCAGAACTTTATTAAATCGTGATAAAAAAACTACTTCTGAAAGTGACATCGAAAAATATGCCCAGGATAACTTAAATATACATAAAAAGGGGATTTTCAGAAAAAAATTTTCAGTGAGAGACATGCTTTCGTGGTCTAAGGTAAAAACTAAATATTTATTTTATTTTTGAACTAAATTTATATCTTACTTTTATTTCAATTAAAACATTTAGGATCCAATTCGTAAACCTATGTTAGTTCTGTCTGACAAAGCATTGAAAAAAGAAGCTTGCGATTTATTTAAATTGGTGCAAACTTATATGAGTGATCGCAAAGCAAAATTAGGAATGACATTAAATAGTGTGGCTTTAGAAATATGTATGACTGGTTTTATGAAACCAACTCTTCGAGATGAATTATACATACAAATATGTAGACAAACAACTGAAAATCCTAGAAAGTATGAATATTTATCAAAATAGATAAAGAATTTTATCTTATTCCTAAAATTTTTTTTGTTTTTCAGAGAAAGCTTACGACGTGGATGGGAACTTTTGGCAATTTGTTTATCTTTTTTCCCACCTTCTCCTAAATTACAAAAATACTTAGAAAGTTATATGGAAAGACATAGAGATCCAGGTCTAGACAGTTATGCAACAGAAGTTGGTCGGTGGCCTGTCCATGTCCAAGTAAGCCATTATGCTAGTGTAGCCACTAAAAGATTACACAGAATGGGTATAGACGGTAAAAAAGCAGTTCGAAGACCAACACTTGAAGATATTGAACAAGCTAGGGTAAGATTGGTTTTGTATTAAATTATACTTTACCAAATAAACTCGCGTTTATTCATAATATCTTGTTTATTAACAGATGCAAATATTCAGGCCTAGTCTTTTTGGTAATACAATCAATGAAGTTATTGATCTTCAAAAAGAACGTTTTCCTAACTATAAATTACCTTGGATACAAACCATATTATCTGAATTAGTACTAAGGCATAGAGGTGATCAAACAGAAGGAATATTTAGGTAACCAAAATAAATAATACTTTTGATATATATTATAGATTACTGTGGTAAGAAAATCAAATCTGTTTGCTGAATTTGCTAGTGATTCTGGTGTTGCTGTCTAGATCTTTAGTGGTGTATCTATAGTCTAGCCGCCTAGCCAGTTCTGGATAACAAAACCAGGGTTGCTAGTAATTTCAGCACAACAATTTTTACCTMAGTAAGTAAGTAATCTATAGAATTTATAAATTATAATCAATGATAAAATCTATTATTAATCATTAATGTAGATGTATAATTTTTTTTTTTTACTATTTTTTTCAGTTAAAATAAATTAGATGTATTACATTAKTTTATAAATATTTATTAAATATTAAACATTCCTAATTTATATTTTATACTCTATAGAGTACCAGCTGACATGGATGAAGTTATGACCCTTAAAAGTCGTTTAGATGTATGGGAAGTCCCTGGATCTGATGAGTTGACTGATGCCCATACCCCAGCATCTTTATTAAAACTTTGGTATCGTGAATTATACGAGCCTCTTGTTCCTGATCATATGTATGCTGAATGTATTGCTGCCCATCAAGATGCTCGCCGCGCCATTGCTATTATTCATCGATTGCCACCTATAAATAAAGCTGTTTTGGCATACCTTATTCACTTCCTACAATTATTTACCAAACCTGAAGTTGTTCAAGTTACCAAAATGGATGCAAGTAACCTAGCTATGGTTATGGCTCCTAATTGTTTACGTTGTACTTCAATTGATCCTCGTGTTATATTTGACAATGCTCGTAAAGAGATGGCTTTTATGCGTTTGTTAATATTACATTTTGATGCATCCTTTATGGAAGGAGTTTATTAAATAGATCTGTTATGTTCAATAACTAATYAATGAAACTGTTTTAGTTTCAAAACTACACAAACCAAAGGTTATTATTATGGAAGCTTAATTGCACACTAATTTAATTATTTTTAAGCTAATATTAACTATAATATATACATATGATAAATTAAATATGATGACAAAATGTTTGACATTGATTTTTGGTAGTTTAGATAAGTGTTACCATGTAAATGACTCGCAAAATTTTACTTAAAATATATTCTAATTACTTAAATACTACTTTAATGATATACCCTCCCACTGCCTTTAATATGATGTATAATTTTTTAATAGCTTATTTATACATTTTTATTTTTTACTTTTGTTTTGCTGTTATAAATTATAGTAACAATAAACAGTATTAGATTATTTACTTAATAATTTAATACTATTATATTTTTAAATAGTCAAGAGATATTAGAAAAATTAATTGTGTACAAATAAGTGAATTATAAATATACATTGCATTGTTTTAAAATAAAAATAAACTTTTAATGACTTTATTTTGTATTTGTTAAGTTTCATAAAGCTTATTAATTTAACATAAATCTAGTAAAATGTTTTAGTCGTATGCTATAAACAAACTAGAATTCATRTTATTTTGTTTTACTGGAATATTTTTTGTTCTGGGACTAGGAATAAAGATCTTTTATTATTATTATTATTAATATTATTTTGTTTTTTTTTTTTTGTCTGAATGCATTTATTTATAAGTTCAGTTTTTGTATCAAACACCGGAACAATATTGTCATTATAATTTTTATACATTTTATTCTTTCTTAATTTCTTTGTGGTGTTATTGTATGAATAATAAAGTTGGAATTGTTTTTATTTTGTTAAATAGTTTTTAAACCTAATGTACCAAGAATTTAGGAATGTTTTTAGGGCTTCAAACAGTTTAAACCATTGAGTTATCTAGGCTCTTCTATATTTACTTGAGCTATATTCATTACCTGTATGTTCTAGATTACATTTTTCACATTTTTCTCATTATGTACCTTTAACATTTTCTATTCTTCCTATAATTACTTTCAATGGCACCATGACTCAAATCGTAAGACCGATGTTCTTGGCTTGCTACTTCATGATTATATTCTCCTGATGAATTTATATTCACAAATAGTTTTCACCCCAAAATTGGTGAGCCTATCTGTAGCACTATGCTATCAATCTATCATATTTGAAAYCAATAATAATTAAATTTTAGTAATAACRAGTGTTCTATTTTTAGATAACAAAATAGCGGAGAATTTGACTAGAATTGATATATATTTGAGAAGCCTATTCATATCGCCATTCAAATGCAATCATAACCATTGAGTATTTCATAGAAGAAAAATAAAGTATGCACTTGATTTTTTTCCCTTAAGATATTCATTACACTGATTTCTCAAAGGTGTAATTTACAAATTTACAATAGTGTAACATTTTGGCAGTTTTAGACATTTTTTATGACAAAAGTAATCATTTTTTGAATATTTTGATTCTTCTTAGCTACAGATATGTTTATGAAAAATGTTAAGTTTACTTCAATATTAATTATCTTCTTGCATTCTACACTTACTGGCTTCCATTTGTGTAAAAGAAAATCTGATCGATTATCAAAATCATGTTTTATAATAATTTATAAATATGAATAAACCTATTTAGCAAAGCGATTTGATTATTGTTATCAATTCTTAAATGTCTTAACATTTGACACAAAACTATAAATTAATGCCTTTGCTTAATGTTCTTGTATAAGAATGGAGTTCTGCAAACATTTTCCTTTTTACATTAGTATTCTTTTAAATATTCATATTAATATGTTGATAGAATATAAAAATAATTTTAAATTTACTTGGCACTTCTAATTCTTGGTAACACTATATCTGATGGAGGCTATCAGTTCTCACCATCAATAATTAATCATTAATAATTCTGCTTTTAAACATACAAGTATATGTAAAAGCTTTTGTACAAAACAAATATTCATAAAATCAAAAAATATTAGGAATCTATTGAAATAGTGATTCAAAATATTTTACAATTATGACCATTGATTTTATATGCTCAATAATAAAATCTGTATAAAAATAACCTTAAGTGGGAGTGATGCCTCATATCAGCAACCCCTTGAATACAATTATTATTGATAAATATGCCCATTTATTTTGGTTTTATTTCAATTAGCAATATTACACAATCTGCTCAGTGATTCATTGACATTATGCATTTGTACATATTAATTTAATGTATTATAAATATATCAGTTTATTTTTATGACAAAAAGTACCTACCAACAAAAAATTATTCATAAGAAAATTTGTTTCCCTTTTGAAATAGCAACTGTTTTAGTAATGATTAAAGATTTTTGTATTCAAATAAATTATGCAAAGGCCATAGATAATAGGATTTCATTAAATATAATATATTAYTTAGAACCGCATATAATGACATTAACAGAGGTTGTCGGCCTTGTTTTCATATAAATTATATATAATGTGATGGATATTATTGACAAACATGGTATACTACAACTAATCAGAATCAAATTTATTTTCATTATAATTAATTAAGCAGTTCAAATTAGTATTTTTCTTAATTCAGGTAAAGAGTATTCTAAAGACGCAGAAACAGTGTGAATAACTATTTCATGAAGTGGCCGCCTCATGAAAAATTGGCGGTTGGGTATCCCAATGACTTGCAGTTATCAAGACCTAGACGGCTAAACTAATTAATAATTTGTACTCACATAGTCACAATTGAACAGCATTTAAAATGAATAAAAAATAATGCAGTGTGAAAAAATTGGTGGGTGGATATTATTTAAGATTATTGCTTCATATGAAAAAAAGTTCATGCCACCACTGTTAAGATTTAAAGGATCAAAATAACAATTACCACCATAAATTTTATTAATTTAAGTTTTATCTATATATTTTTTTTTTAAACACACTTACATTTTACCTAAATATCTAAAGTTTATAATTACTTATGCATTTGTTTATAGTTTAAAGTAGTATAATTTTGAAATAAAAAACATAATAAATATATTTTTATAAATAACTTAGATCGATAATTAAAAAAAAAAAATGATGTATAACAATGTCAACAAACATTAACTAAACAATAATATAAACATATTTAAAATATTAATAAGTCTATCATCAATTATTATTCCGCTACTCACACAGATAATCAAATTAATTTATTGTTTTAAACATAATTTATAATCAATATAATATAATTTTGAAGAAACAGGAACATGCAAGAAAAAAATGCTTGATAGTATTTAATATCCAAAGTATAAATTTTAAATAAGTTAGGAAAATACTGACAAGTTAATTTATTCAAGTTTAACCGTTTTTTTTTCTCTTTTTTTTATATATATATAAAATGTTTGTACAAATTAACATATTTCATTTAGGATTAAAATATCTATAATATACATAAAAAAAATGTACATAGTATGTACACTTAAAACTTAGTCTGATGATAAATAAAAACAATCAATTTTTATTGTGTTATTGCGAAGACGAGGGACGGTGATATTGCGGTGGATAATTATTACTATAAGATTGAGGCAACCTTGGGGGGTATTCATTTCTAATAGGATACTTATCAAATGATCTTGGATACTCTGGTGGATATCTAGGTCCATAACTGGCTACTGAATTGGCCTGTACACCGATTTCAGATGAYTTATGAGGTCGGTCAAATTTTGTTAATGTTATTGAAGAAGGTAATTTGGGAGGGTATAATGATGATGGTATGGCAGGYGATGCAGGTTGTGAAACAACAGCAGATGAATGAGTTGGTGGCATATATGACGGAGATTGAACAGATCTTGAAGGTGGCGGTATTTGCTTAGGCGTTATTGAAATACTAGGATTATTTCTTAATAAATTTGAACGGTTTCGTAATTGTTGCATAGAAGCATCTGAAAAACAAACATATACATTTTATAAATAAAATAAATTAGATTTTGTTAATTATGGACAATATTAATTACAAACCAATTTTGGGTCCTGGATTAAAACTACTTTCTAGTGGTTGTGGCCTATTATATGCCATTGTAGAAGCAGGATGAGTAGATTGTTGTTGAGGGATGAATGGTTGGCTAGTTACTGTTGGATTATTAGGTTTATTGTTTGCTGATGTACGGATTGCAATTATTTTTCCGCTTTCCAACTGCATATAAATTCCTTTGGGACTTTTTAGTACCATCACTTTTTGACCAGCTTTCAGTACAATTGAACCACGATCACCAGCATTTGTAGGGATTACAACATCTTTAGAAATATTTAAGTATTAAATAAAATATTGTTAGAAACATGAAGTATACACTTGTTGTGTTTGAAGTTAATAATTCTAAAAAATAATCTAATTTCAATAGTAATTATTAATTACCAAGAGGTAAAGTCATTTCTTGAGCACTCATTCCTTGTTTTTGCCAGACTTCAGCTGGTATCCATCTACGGTTTAGAGCATTTCTGCTAGCCATGACTGCTGATGTATTTGACATTGATTGCATTGGACGTACACTAGCCATTGGTTTACCCATTTGATTTCTATATAATAAAACAATTAAATAATTGCACTTAATAAGGCAATAAAAAACATATATTTTTATATTTTTATTCTGACCTATACAATGAAGAAGTAGTATTTTGACCATAATATGAATACATGGGTCTAGTGTTTGCTTTTTTCTCCATTTCATAACTCCTTTTGGCTAACCTTTTTTCTGCCTGAGATAGTTTTTTGTCTTTACGGTCCACGAACAATGATTCGTGTTGAAATGGTTCCTAAACATTATTAAGCAAAAAACATTTTATGTTACAATCAATAATATAATTGAATTTCACAAATACTTCATTGTTTGCTATCTTTGTCTTTTATGTGAATTAAGTACAACTAAAACATGTTGACATAAATGGATATAAACTTATAAATAACTGAGTAGTAAAATATTAAATAATCGTTGCTTATGTTATATAAGTGAGCGACAAAGATAATAATCTTTGGAGCAGTGTATTCTCTTCYAATGTTTAATTTTAAAAAATTACCTTGGTTAGTACAGAACTGAGATTCTCCACAATATATTTTATAACTACATCGCTATAATTATCTTTCAATGATGAAAAATCTTTGATTGGTGTAGACTCTCCATCATCCCAACATAAATTAGTTACTTCTTTGATAGATAAATGGGCATCTGGATTGCATTCATCAACAACACGATCTGCCATTACCTGTTTGTTAATCTGTCTATCATAGATTTTTTTTTCTAAACAATTATCTGTTACTAATCTG